GTATAGGTATAGGAGATGTAAGTGTTTGGGACTTCTCTGGTTACAAGCCATACTACAAACTGTATATTTTGTATAGGTATAGGAGATGTAAGTGTTTGGGACTTCTCTGGTTACGAGCCGTACTACATGCTGTATATTTTGTATAGGTATAGGAGATGTAAGTGTATGGGACTTCTCTGGTTACGAGCCGTACTACATGCTGTATATTTTGTATAGGTATAGGAGATGTAAGTGTATGGGACTTCTCTGGTTACGAGCCGTACTACATGCTGTATATTTTGTATAGGTATAGGAGATGTAAGTGTATGGGACTTCTCTGGTTACGAGCCGTACTACATGCTGTATATTTTGTATAGGTATAGGAGATGTAAGTGTATGGGACTTCTCTGGTTACGNGTAGGAGATGTGTAAGTGTTTGGGACTTCTCTGGTTACGAGCCGTACTACATACTGTATATTTTGTATAGGTATATGAGATATAAGTGTTTGGGACTTCTCTGGTTACGAGCCGTACTACATGCTGTATATTTTGTATAGGTATAGGAGATGTAAGTGTTTGGGACTTCTCTGGTTACGAGCCGTACTACATGCTGTACGACCACTTCCTTGGTGATAGCAACTGTATACACGTGATTGTGTTCAGCCTCACAGACACATATGACGAGCAGATTGCCCAGATTCAATTCTGGCTTGGTGTCCTTAAGTGCCGGGTGCAGCCTCATGTTCCTATAGGTAGGTACAATCATGAGGAATATCCAGATGAAATTTTGTGCAAATATTGTGATAAATCCTTTTCTTTTTGCATACAGGTTTGTGTTTAGATAAACGTTTGTTCATGATAAAAATTGGAAGCCCTTTGCATAAAGTATGTCTTTATGTCAAGTACATATACCTGATCTAGCACTTCTATTGGCATTCGAATATGACCTCCTCGTCTACATCGGTTTGTCAAGAAGTTTAACAGACATCTTAAAGGAGGGGAGATAATTCCCTCAAATTGGTTCATTCTTCTAACTACTTAGTATCTGCAGTATTAACTTGTGTTTTCTTCAAATCGTGTCATTGTTATTATGATAACAATTCAAACAGAATCAAATATCAAAGATATTCATCATTAATACTAATAACTTTTCTGTTATCAGGCCATTGTGGTTGCTTGCCCAACTCTCCCAGGGTGGTGCTGGTGGCCACACATGCTGACAAGGTTGGCTGCCACAAGAACGCCAAAGGAGAGTATGTGTGTCCCACTGCCAGTCGGGTCCTCACAAAGGCCAAACTCAAGTTCTCTTCAGACATCAATTTTGTGGATCGGGTCTTCATCATGGACGCCAATGTTGCCATGTCAAATGATATCAAAGCATTCAAACAACAGATCAACGATATGCGTACACAAATCATCGGGGTAAGTCTTTGTTTTGGTTAAAATAAATTGTCACATCAGTTCAAAATTCAGCCAATGTCTTCTCTTTAAACTTTGAAAATTTCTTAGAAAAGATTTGCCATTATAATTGTTGTAAAATCCATAATATGATGTTTCTTTTCCTTTTAAAGGAACTGCCCCGTAGTAATGGTTTCCTGGATGCCATGGTAGCACAGTTGCCGTCCTGGAGACGGTCCTCATCCTCCTTCCCAGTGTTGTCATGGCAACAGTTTGTTGAATATGTACGAGCTAAGGTCAATCCGCTGGCCGGAGATGACCACATGAAGATTCTGGTAGAGGAACTCCAGCTTATTGGAGAGGTACAGAGGGGTTTACGATGTTTCCCGATTGTTCTAGACATTAAGTATCTGAAAACTTGATTAGCAAACACAAATGTTTGGAGACTTATAATTGACAATGTCTGTTTCATTGAATTGGAAAATTTGTTATTCAATTAAAAAGAAGAAAAACAAAATACTTGAAACCAAACTTTATTGATTGAAGAGATGTCACTATGAATTTATTTCCTTGAAACAGTCAACAATATTCCTGTCTTTCAGTGGAGTTAAACATTGTGCGATTGGATGTATTAATTTTAGAGTATCCCTGGTATCCATGTATGAAATACGTGATGACGGTGCTGTATACTGAGTGTATTTTGTATTACAGATTGTTTACCTGGAGTGTGATGCCTCACAAGACCTTGTTATACTTCACCCTAAATGGCTGTGTGACGACATCATTGGCAACCTCATTAGTCAAGAGAAGATAATCCAGTCACGCATCACTGGCTGCTTCACGGTGGACGACTTCCAGTTAATGTACCCAGAGACAGATGCACTTGACTTACTCCAGGTGCTGAAGGCTTTAGAAGTGTGTACACAGTGTGACAATGAAGGAGAGATTGAATATGAATTTCCATGTTTAAATTTCATAGAGACACTGAATGGGCTGTGGCAGAAGGATTCCAAGAGGTTTGGAAATGCTGTGTATGGCGGAGTTCGTATACAGACAGACCCAGATCTGGGTGGTCAGCTCAAACATCTATTTGCACGTATCCAGGTGTCACTGCGCCACAATGTGCTTCAGGAGGCTGAGGACCCGGATGCAGAGTTGTACCAGTGGCACCATGGGTCTAAGTACTGCTGTGGGGAGATGGAAGGCATCATGGGTATGGACAGGCATGAACAATACCTAGACATTAAAGTACGTGGACCAGCTGAGGGACGAACTCAGTTATTTTATTTCCTGGAGGATTTAATCCATGTGGTGGAACAGACAGCATTAAGTGTGTGTCCCGGCCTGTGTTTAGAGAGGCATTTATCAAGCTGTCTAAATCTTAAAGACCATTCCAAAAATGTGCATGCTTTCTCTCCGCTCCATATAATGCGTGCACAACGAAACAAGAGTAACTGTGCACAGCTACCCGATGGTCGGACTGAAGACCTGGCTGACCTCATGTTTTTAGGGTCATTAGAGGTCGTACAGAATGTAACGTTAGGAATAGATCTACCCATATCACATTTGACTGTCCACACAAGACGCATTCTCAGTAACATGTTGGACCCACCAGAACCAATGGGGCGTGACTGGTGTCTACTAGCCGTGACCCTGGGGCTACAAAACCTGCTACCAGGTCTGGACAGTAGTAGTGCACCAGTCAACAATGGTGAGAGTAAAACTGACCGAGTACTGTTAGAATGGTCAAAAGTGGCCCCCCAATGTACCATTGGACAGCTGGTGGGTAAGCTGCTGGAGTTTAACCGTGAGGACGTGGTTGAAATGGTGTTGATCACCAGCCCATTGTTTAAGGTGATGATGTACGAGGACCACAGCACTGATGACAGTACCATGCCGCCCCCCACCACGGCCTCCACCAACACTCTCTCCAATCTCTCTAGATGACAAACACTAGCCTAGTTCTACTTTATATTAATAGAGAAGATTCTCTGACCTCTCCAGGTGGCATGGTGTACATTAAGCTATATCTCTGTACGAGTATGAGAT